CAGAGGATGATCATTATCCCTAATGACGCGAGTGTGTCATTTGAATCGCGAGACACCGTCGAGATGAGCGACGTTTCTCCAGTGTTCGCGCAAGGTCATCACCGCGAGAGGGGGAGGAGAGAGAGAGCGAGCGAGCGAGCGAGCGAGAGAGAAAGATTGACACTTTAACCCTTTCGGCCGTGACGCGCACACGTAAATAGACGCGAACACGCGTCGTCGTCCGCAAATTGCGATCGCGCGGTGGAAAACGCGGTGGCGTGCTGCTGCGCTCGCCTCGTGATGCAATTTGTTGACCTTATTCCGGTAATTCTATCCTCACTTTAATTCTATTCAGCGGAATTCCGTGAAATCATTAGATTGTTCCCCCCGGTTGCGTCCGACAAACGGTCGAATATGCCGCTCATCCACGTCTTATCTGATTATCCGATTAACTCGCTGAATTATTCAATCATATTTAATGAATGTTTACAGATCTCTCCGCGAGCTTTGTTGTTCGACGAATCATTTTGGTATTTACTCAAATCAAATTCTTCGTGCGCGTATTTTAAGAACAAATTGATTAAAAACAAATCGGAAATCTCAACTAGATTTTTGAAAATTTAGAACAAAACGTATATCTTGAATAAACATTCGCTCTGATCGGTTTTTCTAAAAAAAAAAAAAAAAAAAAAAAGTCACGTCTACAAAATACTACGCGGATCGCGCGTGAAAGCTTTTTCGTATATATATCTCCGCGTCGAACTCAGAAAAATATCGGAATTGTCGAGAACAAAAAAACAAAAGAAATTAAAAACAAAAGTAGAAACCGAATCCGAGTCGGGGATAAATATATATGTATATATGTAGACGTTACTTGCGGCAAGCAATTGTTTTGCGGAATTTTATGCGTGTGCAATTCGCGGTCGAACGAACGGCGGCAAACGCGGCGAAATCCATATCGCATAAAAGCATCTATTTGTACCTTTTGTTCTTCTCTCTGTGGCGCTCTCGTGCAATTAACGAGCTTACGCGAAAGCCGCCTCACGTGTTTCGCAACCATAATTCAACCCTTTCAAATCCACTCCTCCCCGTTCCGTCGCCGCGTGAAAACCCCGAAAAGGGGAATATAGTAGAATTAAAAGATATTTATGAACTCTTCGCATCCTATACGGGAGAAAAAGAGAATGTGAAATTTTCGCGGAAAACCGCGTTTTTTTCGTTTTTTTTTTTTTTTCAAAGGAAAACTTGAATATTCCGTATATTTCAAACAATAAAGTAACTCCTCTTTTTACGTATTCGTCGAACGTATTTCTATGAGATTAAATTTTAATATTAGATTCAAATAAATTCTCGCAATAGATATTGAGTTTAAAGCAAGTGTTTTTTTACCTTCGTTTGATTTTTAATAACTTTTTTTCTCGACTTTCTTCTGTTTTTTCATTTATTCTTTTTTTTTTGCGTCGTTCTTTTTTTTCCTCGAGATGACGCAAAATTTTCTTTCCACAAAATAAGACCACGTTGCAACGATCACCACAATTCGGATAACATTTTTCAAAGTATACGTTTCAACCCGTCGATTTGTTCCCGTTTTGTGCAAGCTAGTCGCTCGTCATCTCGAGCCGAGACTCTCGTCGGTTCTCCCCGAGACTCCCTGATTGTCATTATAAATCGAGAAGGGAGGCAAAAAGGGGAAAAGCTCGCGCGCGGTCGACGAAAGGAGTTCGGCGAATCGCGGCTGCGTTTTTTTCCGTGAAATTTAATCAAGGCTATTCCCATCCCGATCGGGGGCGATCGAACCGATCCGGGACGCGTCTAAGCATAATTTCGTGCGTGTTCATCGCCCGAAAGCAGATGGACACGACCGATAGAGATGTATCAGATGTGGGACGAGAAAAAGACGGGAGACGGAGGGAGTAAAACAAAAAAAAAAAAAAAGTAGAATCTTTAAGAGGACGCACACATACGACAACCCATACATTGAAAACGACTTCTTTAATAAATCGACGAATTTTGAGAAGCCTGTAATTTAATTGACTTTTCTCTTTTTACCGCAATTTCGCGTCATTATCAGGTCTCTCTCATCGCTCCCTTTAATCCCGTAATAATAATCTAACGTTCCACAAGTGTGTTCGCAAGCGCGAAATACTCTTCTTCTTCGTCCGATCTTCACTCCCGCGTGCGCGCGCGTGCTGAATACGCGGAACAAATACACACACCGTTTGACACCTGGAAGAGAGAGAAGACCGTGCCTTGCCTTGCACAATGGCCTCGTAAAGTCCCACTTTGTCCCCGAGGATAATAAAGTTCCCGCGAGCGCGCGAGCGCGAGAACGCGAAGGATCCTTCAGAAAGTCCTCGGAAGGTATTCCTTTGTTCGGTGCTTTGTGGTTGCTCGACAAGGGAAACGAGGAGGAAAGAGGGAGATGGGGCGGAGGAGGGTGGAGGCGGCAGGAGGTGGCCAAAGCTTGTCAACCGTTCGCCCAAAATTCTCCCCTTCTGCCGCCGGCCTTTTGCCACTCCTCTCTCTCTTTCTCTCTCTCTCTCTTTCTCTCCCCTCGGCGGCTTCCCGTTATTTCACTTTGCGAGAAACACTCCTCGATTTATCGCAGAATAAACAAGCGTTCTGTCCTCATCCCTCCTCCCTCCCTCTAACCCCGACGCGCGATTTACGCCCTGTAATTCACGTTAAAACCGGTACTGTGTCGCGCAACCCTCGAGCCGGCGCGCTGCAATTTGTAGAGGAAAATGTAGAGCCGATGAAGCTCTACAGAACTCAAGAGCGTTTTTTTTTGCAGCAGCAGCAGCAGCAGAGAGCACATTGTCGTCATGTACGCGAGAATGCAAATTTTTATTAACGCGGAAAATTATTCTGCGCGATTACGCCTGACGTAATTTCTATGCGCTCGATCTTTTTTTTTTTTTTTATTTCCGCACTCGTTTGCATCTTTGCATTCTATTAAAGAAACTACACTTACGGATCGATCTTTTTGTGTCGCGAAGAGACGCATTTGCCTGCACGCGCGCTATGTACGGGGGAGAGGGGGGGGGGAGCCTCTTTATATCTTTCCATATTTCCTCGCGTGAAAGTCATGAGAAAAAATGTCCCGTGCCGGAAAATGTCCAGAAGATAAATTACGAAATGTTCCATAGGAAAACTCGCTGGGGGAGGAAAACGACGATAAGGGAGAAGCTTGATTTCGCTTCCCCGCCGACGGCGGCGGCGGCGGCGCGTTATTTCGCGATATATATCCCGTAACGGAATATGCGCGAGCTTATTTCCGCGTGTTAGTCGAAGCTCTTAATGCAAAAGGCAGACGCGTAAAAGGATTCTTGCGAAAGAGCGCGTAATAAAGATTTCGCGTAGACGAAACGAACGAAAACGGTGAAATCCAGGAAACTTTTCGCGAGCAAAAGAGAGAGAGATAGAGATAGAAATAGATAGATAGATAGAGAGAGAGAGAAAAAAAAGAGAGAAAAAGAGAGGAAGAAACGAAGATAGGGGAAGTTTCCGCGTTTCCCGTTTCTGCGCGCGACGCGACGCGGCGCGGAGATTTACAAGTCACGTCGCGGGCGTCGTAAGCTTATAAATCTTTAATGCGCCGTCTTTCAGCACGCCGCGTCGGGAAATATTGCGCGCGCGATGAGAAAAATGTGGGTCGGGACGCGAAGAATGGCACGAGGGGATGCGCGCGCGAGTTGGGATCCTTGTGATATGCCAAAGCAGTCGGCGGGGGCATATACATGTGAGGTGGATCTGATCGTGAAAAGGGAACGACGCGCGCTCTTTGAACAGGGACAAAATATTGAAGACTGTCAGAGTTATAAAGAAGACAAGAAGAGAGAACTCGAGAATATATATTTTTCCCCAGTATTTTAAGCAACGTCTTAAGAGAAAAAGATAGTTCTCACGCGGCGACTTCGTACTTTTCGGATCGATCTTGCACGTAAAACAACACGACGGTGTGTGTTCTCGGTTACGCAAACAGGTTATCGATATACGAGTCGCGCGCAATGGCGGTGATAACAAAAGAGTTGCAAGTTCTCGGCGAATACTCGGCGCTAAAAGCAAAATGTCATTCGCATAATGCGGATGCTTTCCGACGGGCAGCAGCTTTTGTGCCGGCCGAAAGCAGCACTCGATTCGTTTTCATTCGCATTTATCACATATCGGGTATAGCTCGAATAAAGGGGAAGCAAAATGCGCCGGGGTGAGGTGAAGGAGAATTGAGCAAAAGCATTTTGCTCTCCTCGAGAAAGAAACGCGAGAAAAGAATATTACGAGCATATGTGACAGAGATTCTCGAATCGCGCACGCGGAGAAATACGCGACTACGTCTTTCGGCTACAATACTCCGGGAAGATTGTTAAAAGTATTAATATGTTACCAACACACATTACACACACACACACACATACACACACGTGTGCGATCGACTCTCGTTGTTCGGACTGCTTTTCAAACGCGCAAGTAATTGAAACGAGATAAAGGTAACGCAGAAGTTGTAAACGAAATCAAAGAGAGTTTGACATATGCTCTTTCTTAAAAAAAATCCCAACATATCTAATATTAAAAACTTCAAGAAATTTTTCTTAATAAAAACTCCTACGAATTTACGTTTTATTATCTCGGCAACGTCTCGGTCACGCATCCCGTTTAAATAACAAGGCGCGTACTTTTAATTTAATTCGTGACTGTTTACTGATACATAAAATATAAACACGTAAATTGTAGAAAACAAGTTTTTTGCGTTCTCGGAGCAAAAAGCACACAAAATGTGTGTACACACACGCGTACACACACACACACCCGTCGCTGGGTTTATAACGAATGTACGTACGGAATATATTTTCGCTTCTCTCATATTTCTCTATTACTTCATCACCCCGGAGAATACGTTCGACTTTTTATCGCGCCGTCGTACCGCTGTTTTGCGCGTTACGACGCGCGAAACTTTTGTTCCTCTCAGTATACGGGAGATATAGTGTTTAAGTTGACACAGAGAGTAACGCAAGACTACTCACCATTCGATGCTCCTGTATCCCTTGAGGCAACAGTGGAGAGCCTTGAATGCACCCACGTTGGCGTACTCGGTGGGAATGACCTCCTTCGTGAACTGCAGACCGCCCGCTAGATTGTCGTACGTGTGCATCGAGCAGTAATCCTTAAGCTCATTGCAGAGACCGATCGTCGATGTCGATATTGTGAGCGCAACGACGGCACGCACAATCGCCGATATTCTCATTTTCACGCTCATCGTTGTTGTTGTTGTTATTATTATTATTCGCGCACCAGTCGCCAATCCTGTTCGAAATAAATCACTTTTCGCGCACCAGCCGCGTAAACGATCGAGTTTCGATCCTCGTGGAACGATTATACCACGCGAACGTGCGAAATATCCCGGCAGTCAATATAAATTAAATATTTCGCGAGTTTCGAAATCTTTATCGCGCGACGCAAAAACTCACAGTCCGTGACGAGATTCACGATATTCTATAGACAACCGCACGGTCGAATTCACCTGGTCGTCATTCTCACAATTCGCGCGCGCCAGTGCGCCATCGAGACTGCCGCGCGGAGTCACGCGGTCTGAAGTTCGCGACAATCGCGAACCTCCCCCTCTCTGACCGACGACGCGTTCCAAAACACACGCTTTCGAGAACTTCTCGACGCGATCCGCGAGCGTTTTGTTCCGCGTTTTTGTTGCGAATATACAATCACGGAACTCGTGCGAGAACGTCCGTCGTCACGGAGCAGCGTGAAGTTGGCGACTGTCCGAAATGCGCCGACCGCGTGAAGTTGGCAGCGACGGCGGCGGCAGAGGTGATACTTCTCGTTCTCTTTATCGCGACTGGAATTCACATGCTGCGTGAAGACAGACAAGAGACGACTCACGATTCGCGGAAGCACGTCGTATCGCCGACGGTAAACAATGCTCCGTTATCGAACCGCGGGGTCCCGAACACTCGAAACGGCGAGGGATACAGAGAGAGAGAGAGAGAGAGGAGCGCACGACGCATCCGTTGTTTGCAGTCAAACACGGGCGCTTTGCGAAGCGCGTTTACCTGGGAATGTCAAACACTTGAAACATCAGCGCTTAGCTGCCGCCGCCCCGTCCACCGTTCTTCTCCTCAGTCGCGATCTCCTCACACAGGAAAGCCGTTCGTTCCTCTTGTTCGTTACGATAGTCGACTTCTCAGTCGTGTGTCGGCCTTTCTCGTTTATCGTCTCTCGGGGAAGAAGGCGGGGCTTTTCACACGGGTTAATATTTGTGCGAGATGACTTACACCGAGTTCTGTTCGAAGCGCGTGTACTAAGTTCCTTGTCCTTTTTTGATTGAAAGCGCGAAACTCTCTACGCGTCGTCGTCTTATACCGCGACCGTGCCGCATCAAGCGCTACTCGTACTGCAACCTCCGACGACTGACTGACTCGCGCGAGTCGCGGACGCGCCTCCCCCGCCGTTTCAAACGAGCCGCCTGTTGCCTCGCGCCGCTTCGGCCGAGTCCGGCAACGCTCGCGCGCGCTCGGGACGTGCCGCGCCGGCCGGCGGACGGTGTGTTTATATACAAGCGCGGCGACAAGCGTTCCCGAAAAGAGAGTTTGTCTTTATAAATAGACAAGCGCGAACGATTACTCGGAAGAGATTGAATTTTGCTGTTACCGGATAATCAATTTGGAGCAGTTTTAGTGGCAATCGGAAAAAGTACATACACTTGTCATGTCTATTTTCGGCTATTTTTCGAATCTCACATGTGAATTCTTTACGTGGTTTTGGAGTCACGCGTATTTTAATGATCTTTCAAATCAAATTCTAATAACAAAGTTTGGATAGCGCAGTGTTAGATATTTTTGTGCGTAGATATATGTGACTTCTTCGTAATTTATTCTATGGATAAAATCGGCGATATAATATATTAATGCAAAATTACTTGAAAAGAGAGGAGAGAGAGAGAGAAAAAAGAACTTTTCAATCAATATTTACTCAATGTTTCTATTAGCCCAAGTGTCAGAGAACATTTAGCGCAACATTACAAGTTTAAAATTTCTTCATAACCGAATCTACAAAATTTATACAATATTAAAGTGAAATTATTCTTAAATAAAACATTTATTCTCGCATTATATGTTTATGATTTATATAACACAAACTGTTATATAAATTTTCTTTAGTTTGGTTAAACTTCAAGATAATTGTCATTGACTTCTTTTTTTCCTTGACACTTAACAAAGTAAATACGAATGAGATACTTAATGGGTACATTGCGTGGCCAAAACACGTAATTCATATTGCCAATAATTTTCTGAGAACTGGTATCATGCGCGTGACTTTACTTTTGCGTTCTATATAAGTGAAAAGAAATAATGATTTCTGTAAACCGACATATATTTACACACACATACATAGGTGATATACGCACAGTAAAACGCGTACTACTGAAAAATAAATTAAAATTTATAGATATCAAATTTCATATTAAATTTTAATACATATTATTTTAATATATATTATTTATGTATTATTTAAATATATTCTTTATGTATTATTTATTTATTATTTTATTTATTATTTATATTTGTTATATTTTTATATTTGATAAGCAAAAATATTAAAAGTACAATTAAAGTTAATACATTCTATATGAATAATATATAAAACAATACACAATATATTATTTTTCAAAGTATGTGCGGATTTTGTGATTTAATATCATATTGTATCAGAGTCGATACTCTAGAACTTTTAATGTGTAACACCCGTTATAAGCAGAGATATAATTTTGCGAGAGAGAGAACGGCGCGAGACGTTAGCGACGAAGAGACGCGTCATCGGACTTGAAGAAGCTTGATTCCTTCTTCTCCCCTGTCTCTGTCGCGTCGAAATCTTCTCTGCGCTCTGAGCGCGATTAGACAGTCTGGTGCACTCGTTGCGCATTTGCGCACTTGGGATTGCATTCTGAGAAGTCTTGCGGTCACTTCTCCAACTCTCATGTTGCACGTCTACAGCGGAGAGAGTTGCAATAGCGGCGGTATCTCGCCGCAATTTTTAGTATATTAGTAAGAAACTAATTTTATCTTTTTATTATTTAAAACACATGACCCTCTTTTCTATCTCGCTCTTTTTATTTTTTATTCTCGCTGTTATTTTTTTCCGACTTGAACATATTTCAAACAAATAAACTTAAACACAATATTGGAAACAAATAAAACATAATATCTAGAACAAGTATTTTACTTAATTTTTGGAATTTATAAAAATTAAAACTTTCTTGAGCAACTTTACTTTTAAAACTATTATTGAGAATTGTGTAGTTGAAATAAATATTCGTTTCCATGATAAAAAATGTCACAAATGTGTGACATTTGCGTCTTATCTAACGCGAGAAAAATAGATACTTTTCTTGGAACTAGCAGTAGTTTCCTTGACACCAATCTCGGCTAAATCTAATTTATCGAGTTTTAAACAAAATATTGATATCGTAATCAAGTCAAGTTGTTATTTATAAACGTGATTAACGAGCGTATATAAATAGACAAATGAGCGAATAAGTATTAGTTTAGAGCGTAAATAAATTTTGCGCGTGCGACGCTTGATAATGACGCAGCGCGGGGGCATTTAGTATTCATGCGGAGAAGGTGACTCATAATCCTGGCCTACCTACGTACATATATATCCACGCCGCGTGATATAACGGGTGAGAATAAGGTCGCGAGCGACAAACGACAGTCCGATAAAAAACCACGCGCGCAATGGAAAAACCCAATCTTGTTCGTGTGCTATTATTAATTAAGTGGTTAATCCCAGAAATCCAGATTTTGCCCGAGTACCATAGACGTATACCGGGTGTCTCCTTCGCTCACGTGTATCTCTCTGCGTCAAATAAATTGCGTTTTCTGGATTATTCGCGAAAAAAAAAAAAAAAACAATTATGACAATGTAATCGCAAAACGATCGTAAAACGTTGTTTCCCGGAAATTATATACGTAAATGTATTATACATGTAAAATGGATCTGCATTATTCACAATGCTTCAACCTTCCAGGTTCAAGAATAAACAAATAGCTTTCCGGGAAAAGGATTTTTCTCTTTCGCTTTTTTTAGTTATTGTTATCTATTTCGTGCTTTTGTGCACGAGCTCGTCGACAAAGTATTTTTTAATTGTTCTCAGGTATACCGCCGACTAACTTTAATCACTTTTTTCACTCTCATAAGTTATTTCTTGCCATTAAAATTTATTATTGTTAGTTTTATACATTGCATTTATATATCTATAACTATTTACGATAGATTCAATCAAATTATGTGTTTTCAATGTCTTTTAGTTTTTGTTTTAATTTTGTATATTCGCAACTCTTTTCGTTAGAAAAGAAAAATCTACATAAACGAGAAAACACAAAAAGTCTATTACGTCCAATGTACGTTTTTCCCATATTGTAACAACATAAGGTCGATTATATATTATTCGTATGCAATTCGCGATGCTCAATTGTGTCATCTACCGTCACGTACAGTAACTACTACGTAAAGCGTTAGACTTATCGATTCATGCTAATGAAACAGACTTATTTATTGGTAAATACAGAAATCGCTATTACTAGGAGGTTAGTACACGATGCTAACACCAGAGAGAAGCCTGAGAGTGGCCACGGCCATAAGGCCCGAATTCATAGTCGTCTCTCAGATCTCAGATCTCCAATCTCAAGAGAAAGAGAAAGAGAGAGAGAAAAAGAGAGGGAAAGAGATGATCTGAGATCTGAGATCTGAGAGACGACTATGAATTCGGGCCTAAGAGTTTCTGTCATAGCTTTTCGTGGACATGGTTCTATTCCGTGCTAAGTTTGTGGACATGGTTCTATTCCGTGCTATGAAAACACCGACGTGGTGGGGATACGCACACAAGCGAGACCGTTGTCCGTGTGCGCTCGGGAAGTGTGCAGACATATTATGTTGATGTATGACGACGGTTCTCGCTTGTGTGCGTATTTCCACCACATCGGTGTTTTCATAGCACGGAATAGAACCATGTCCACGAAAAGCTATGACAAAAACTCTTATGACCGTGGCCGCTCTCAGGGTTCTCTCTGCTAACACAGAAAGACTTTTTTTTTTTTTTTTTTTATTAAGGTAAAAAAGACGCCCCAGGAATCGCTCCTATTAGGCTTAGTACATGTCACATACAGAAAACCAAGTGATTACAGTAAATGGGTAGCACTACGCAGGAGTAGTGTGTAGAGGGCACTCTCCTGAAACGCACCTTAAAGCCACAGAAAAGACTGAGAGCGACCAGGCCCATAAAGCCTGTTCTACATTGATCGTAAGCGCAAACGCAAAGAACAGGTGGTAGAATTGACTAATCGTATTGATTAAATCAGCCAATTGACCAGCGTGATTGGTCAATTCTACGATCTATACCTTGCGTTTGCGCTTGCGATCAATGTAGAACAGGCTTAAGGGCGACGTCCCATTGAGCGGAAATCTATAGCGGAACGGAATGTGCGGAACCAGCTCGACCAATCATAGCCATTCCGTTTTCTTTCCTTCGCTTTTTCTATGGTTACAATTGGTCGAGCTGGTTCCGCACATTCCGTTCCGCTATAGATTTCCGCTCAATGGGACATCGCCCTAAGAGAATGTGTGATCACTTTTTCGTCCCGTAAACTAGCGCATGTCCACGGGTGGTGCACATTGAAACTATGCAGTTATGTCCACGAGCGACATGTCGGTGCGTTATGTTCACAGCGTGCGGTTCTATTCTGTGCTATGTGCACGAGTCCAAATAGTCATCTTCTTCAGGTGTGTGAGTATATTCGCGAGCGTGGATTTAATTATTTTTGAAATTTAAAATGACCGATATCGTGATGAAAAAGGAGAACAAAAATGGATAAGAAAAAACATTGCAACTTTCTACACAACATAGATGTGATAGTTAAAAAAAGAATATTCTTGTAGCGAGCAGCATCAGAATTCACGGAGTATAGTCAGGTATCATCTCCTTTTACATCATCATATTTGCTGCTCTTTGCTTTATAAATTTTATTTCATTTTCTTAAAAACATTGCATATAGAAATATAGATACAAAACAACATGTATATTATACAAAAGTATTTTAACGGTACACAAATATACATGTCTGAAAAGTTATAATTCCAAGAAGTATACCTTTTATTGTTTTATTACAATTATTTATCAGTGTGTGTGTTGTTATCAATTTTCCAGTTTCATTTTACAATTTTTTTATACACTACAATAAAATACAATATTACAATACATAGTATAATATGATACATAGTATATATATATATATATAAAATTCTACCTATCTACCTATCTATCTTCGGTATCACTCACCGAATTTTCAGTTTATTGCATAGTGACACTTAGAAAAATATGTTCTTTATGATCACCAATTCTTAAAAAAAATATTCATAAGTAAGGTAAAAATTTCAAACCGAAAGATCCCTTTGTGACGGGGCGAGCCCCGCCACTTGTAAATATTTGCGTTTCTTTGAATTATTAATATTGCTCCTATTATTGTTCATATTATTATTCTTATTATTATTATTCGCGTTATTCTCCTTTTTTCTGTAATGGGATCTTTTATTTTCCATATTTCTATTCTTTATTAATATACGTATATATATCACCGCACGCCTGCTATAATTCCGCCTATCTTCCTATAGTTCCGACCGTCTCACGTATCAAGCGATAGTTTAGGGCGCGGAAATATAGATAGTAAGAGCGCACCGAACACACGTGCACGAGCGAAGACCTGTGCCCGTGCGACACGGCACAGGTGCGTGACACGGCGCGCAAACAAGCGCGCACCGCACACCGACCCTGGACGGACCATAGGCCGCTCCGGGGTATATAAGCCGGACGATTTCGGCAGTCAGGACCAGTTCCTTTCCCGAGCTCTCGAGGCGGTGTCTTGAGAGCGATCCTTCAAGCCGAGGCGTTGTCTCGGACTTAGAATCCTAACCGGTCGAGGCGTTGTCTCGACTCACCTTCTCGAGGCGTTGTCTTGAGAACTATCCTGTCCTTCCGGTCGAGGCGTTGTCTCGACTCACCCTCTCGAGGCGTTGTCTTGAGCACATCCTGTCCTTCCGGTCGAGGCGTTGTCTCGA